ACAAGGATTTAAATGTCTTTTTAGCCACATTCAAAAACAAAATTCTTTGAAGCCTTCCTAGTGATGTTTCATAAATTGGGATTCAGATTCAAGTGTTTTTTTTTCCAGGAAATTCTTGATGCATCTTGATGCAGACTAGCACTGGTGATGTTACCTAGTTTGGGTAATGAAACATATGCAAGAAAACAAACCAGCTCAGAGAGCACCAAGGACCCCTCATGTCAATCCTGAGCTACAAATATTCTCCTTTATTAGTGATGCATTTTCATTGTCAACACATAATTTGGGGGCCTGTCTCATCAGTTTTGGACAATTGAAAGCATTCTGATACTACAAATGTGTCTTCTGAAGCAGCATTAAAGTTCATGGTTAAAGATTTAAACAAACTATCCCACTGGAAAAATAGTATAGCTACAAATAAGCAACAATTAATTACAGTCTTTATTCAGTAAAGCATTTTAAATTCAGAATATCCATTGTGAATAATCAATATTCATGCTAATTACAAAAAGTCAAGTGTTACCAAAACAACAAAAATGTTATTGTAAAAAGAAACTTTTATTTGAATCCAACTGTTGCCCATGTTTTCCATTTCTCCCAGTACAACACTTAAATTCATCCTGGAGTTTTCCAAAGTCAGGTAGCCAGAACTTCAATGTGTTTTAAAGTGAAAATATAAATGTGTCTTGTACATGAGATTAGTATGAAATCTTAAAGGACCATCTTAATGAAGCAAAGATGAAGAACGTTAGGAGCAAAGGAAAGGAATATAAATTGAACTGTTTAATTGGGGTTAAAATGAAGACTACATTCTGGGAATCCTTTCTGGACTTTTTGCTAATACTGGACATAATTTTTTAATGATATTTGGATTTGTGAATGGATAAAATTTGAGACACAGGAAGAGGTGATTTCTATAATGTAATATCAAGGGGGGAGAAATAGTAAGTTGCTTGTACTTGTATGAAAGTAACTTGTTTAACTTTTTCCTTTTTTTCCTTTTGATCTCTATTTTGTCTCTCTTTGATTTCAGTTTGTTTTATTTATTACTATTAAAATCTTTAATAACAGTATTTTTCAAAAAAGAAAAATCAGTACATTAAAATACCAATAAAATCTTTCTTTAGCCAAAAAGAATATTTGATTTAAAATACATTTAATAGTTCAATGAAGTAATAGATCAGTGCTGCTTAATTTTAAAACTCAACAAGTTGCCTCAATCTTTGACCCTTTCTTTCACCCTTAACATTAAAGTTGGTTTACATATACATATACATATTGTTTAAAATGCATATTTTGATCAGTTTCTGTGTCTTACAAGTTGGTACTGACCAGAGTGCTGATCTAACTTCCTTTTCTATAACTTGAGTTTGTAGGTAGGGAATATCTTCTCAGATACCTTGGAGGTTGACATCTATATTTCAGTATACCCTTTCAATTTTTCTTTAATCTTTGAATAAATTACAATCTGTCTATTGGTGTCCTTTAGCATACCAATTTGAGATTAGAACATCCTGATTCCTTTGAAAGATTTTTCTTTTTTTCAAAGTCCATTTTCATCTTGAATTTATTGAAATAGTGCCTCTCTGTTGTTCTTCGTTGAGTGCCTTCCTAATATTTTTGTCTTTTTGACATAAAGTTTACAAACAAAATTTAGTTTTATCTTTGGTAATCTCTTTTAAAATTCATCCTTAACAACTTCCTGTGATGGTCAGAATCAAAAATGAGTAGGAAGTAGGAATCTAAGCCACATGGAAGGTATGATTCTTCCCAACTTCTAACAATCACAGAGTTGGAAGGAACCTTGGAGGTCTTCTAGTCTAACACCCTGATCAGGAAACCTGCTGTCCCACTGCTCAGGAAGCCCTATACCATTTATAGTTTCAGTTTAGAAACTGGACAAAGGCAGAATTTATATATGTGCCTGGAAGAATTACAGGTAAAGGAAATGTCCTTGAAAGATAATTTATGATAATACTCAACATTATTGATAAAAATTTGAAAATCTAAATTAATTTTATGCAATGCAACTTCCATATTAAATAAGTATGTAATTTTGCAGCTAATCTTGGAAAATTTCAGTTAACTGTAGGTGTTTAAAAACACATCTGAAAATTTACCTCTGCAGAACAAGCAACAAGTGTAACAATTTGTATTCCTATGTCAATGCTAATGGTAGATAAACCCAGAGTCCTTTGACAGCTGGTTTTTCTAAACTGCTTTTAAGACATTCTAGGTAAGATTCTGCTTCCTGTCAACTTACTGGATTTACCACCACTTAACACATGATCCAATAGATATGTTTCCCACTTCCTACTCAAATCTATTTTACAGGAAGCAAATGCAAAACTGCTTATTTTTTTAGTAATAATCTTACATTTATACATCATTTGTGACCTTTAAATTGCCTGATTTTTTTAATATTAATCTTTTGCATTTTCTGTAGCATTATTTATCACTGGAGCACATCTAGTGCTTCTTGTTTCAATTGGATGGGATTACTCATTTGATAGCAATGTAGAAATGGTAACTTCCATTTCATGAAAGTGTAAATGACTGATGTCAGTGAGTAGGTTGTTTTGGTTAAAAGAAAGGTTAGAAATGAATGATTCATACTTAAATGGCAAGGACCAGATGTCATTGGTTGGCACTTTCAGATTTTAATGAGTCTAGGAGAAGTCATTAATTTAATAGATAGTCAGCATTAAATAGATTTGAATTAGATTTGTCATATTATGATATGGTTTATTGATGAAACTGAAATGGCCTACATCCATAGGACCTGTTTTATGCACCATAATGCCTAGGCCCATCCAATACTCTTAAGTCAAAACCAAATAAACACTATTATAATTTAGTGCAATGTATGAATCCAGTCATGGCAAGATTAAATATAAAACTGATTGATCACATTGATGCAGGTCCTGGACAAAACTTCTAGGAAGATAATTCTGAAAATATTTGGAGCAAACCAAAATTACATATACAGAAATACAGCATGTCATAGCCATGGATAATGTTGCTATATTTTGGAATCTTCTTTTTGCTAACCCTGAGGGTTAATCTGTTAGAGAATAATATTATTTAGAGCTGAAAACTAGAAATTTTCAACTGATGTGGTATGAGTGGTATTAAATGCCACATAAAAATAATAGTTGTTTCTGATTATTCTGAATATTTAATTTTATAAAATTCAAATATTTTTTACAAGAGCTTTGGATACTCAAAGCGGAAGTATACCTGACTTCTTTTAGTATAACTTAATTTTGCAAATTATCTCGGAATAAATGATAATGGAAATAAATAAGAAAATACTGACACTTTAAAAAATAAGATTAAAAATTATTACCTCCATTATTAAACTATTTAAGATTCCTAGATGCTACACACATTTCTAGGAATCAGCCTAATAATATCCTATATGCTGCAAAGTAAGGCAGGAGGATGATTTTATAATTATATTTGCTGTCCCTCAATTATTACATATATTTTTAATGAGTGTTCTATTGAACTAAATAGAAGGGTTGACCAATATTTTCTAAGAATCTCCCTCCCTCCTCCTACTCTATCAGTTTCCTTTGTATTACATTTCTGAGCTTATATAATTGTATTCACATTCTTCACAGCATGTAACAAGGAAGGATAGGAAATAAACTAGTACTCAGGCATTCAATCTAGTTTTCTCATGTAGACAAATTTTCTCAAAAAATCTATTATTAAAAGTTCTAAGAGTTATGGCCTGAAGAATAACTCCAATTCCCTGTGATCAGATGAACTTACTATCTTGCTAAACAAAATATAGTGCAGAAAATTGTGGAATTTTTAGTTGTGTTCATTATGTATCAGAATTTTGATTTCATTATTCCATATACATCCATCACTGAAACTAACTTCATTATATGTCTGTACAACAGTTTATGGGCACTTCTAAAGGGCAACATTTTCATTTTTCCTTAAGCAGTCTGAAAAGACATACCTATATTCTTCCCTTATATTAACCAAGGAATACTGAGAACAGTATGTCAATCAAACTGTCCCTTCACTTGACCAATAGAAACCTAGAAGCAGTGCTATTTGTTTTACAGTATGTCCTGTCCAAGCTGATAAGACTTCATGAACTGGAACTTATTGTAGAGCCTTTTAGTACTTGAGAAACCCAAATCTCATTGATTCCACACAAAAGGAAAATAAATACATAAAGATCCAGCAGTTTGCTAGCCTGCTTGGTCTTCTGGACTGTTTCCATCTGGGGGTTTTCACCTCTGCTGAAGAAAGCCAGCATTAAAAGACCTGCCAGATGGATGGGTGAGCAAAAATAAGAAATATACTTCCCCAACTTTCAGAACGTCACCCATGTAAAAATACAGATGACCTTTTGCAATTTGGCTTGCACCGCAGCTGAATCAAGAATAAATCATTTTAGCTGCCAACCTCAACCGATGTTAAATCCCAGAATTCCAGAGTGGCTTTTGACCTGGCAGAGTTCTGCAGTTGATCAGCCAAGTTGTGTAAGTTCAGCTGTACAATGAAGTTCTAATAAAAAATTATTTGTAGTTCAGGATTGACATGAGTGGTCCTTGGTGCTTGCTTGGTTTTGTTTTTTGCAGACATTTCATTACTCAAACTAGGTAACATCAGTGCGAGTACAATAAAGTCTTTGCATGAAAGTTGAGCATGGCGAAAGACTTCAGTCCCAATACTAGCATGTATATAGATGCAGAAATATGTATTTCTGTTTTTATGGAGAATAAATAATTAATATTAATTACAATTCAGTTGCCAGGCAGAGGTAGTTTAACTCATCTTCTTCCAATTCCATTTCCTTGGAATGAATCCTGTATGACTCCTGCAGTAGATATTACTGAGATTAGAAGGAGCAATTAATGCAATTATATAAACAATAGATTAGCCAGGAATTAACCTGGAGAATATAAAACAGACCCAGTGCCTGAACTGCGCATTTTCTCAGAAGCAAACTCAAAGACACATAGGGTGACTGCATGAAGAAAAGACTGTGCAGCCAAGAGAGTGATTCTCCTTTTCTGAGGTGTTCTGAGATTGGACAGCCCAGCAGAGTTGATAGGTATGTATCACTGGCTTTATGTCCCTCTGTATGTGTGAATCTGGAAAAATTACTGTATATTGTAGACAGAAATATGTAATGTTCAACAATACAAACTTATAATACATACTGCTTTGTTTTCGAGGTACCAAAGACAGGTGTATTTTGGCTGTAAAATAACATGATTATCCCTTAGAAGGATTTTTAACCAGAAGTATTTTCTATACCAGGTGTGTCAAACTTGTGTCACGGTGGTGTCATGTGATGTATCAGGACTTTCCCCCCTTCACTAAACCAGGTGCAGGCGGGGCCAGTATGTGATGCATACAGCCCGAGGGTCGCGAATTCGACACCCCTGCTCTATACTGTGGTGCTTCTTGATATACGTCATTCCTCAGCATTTGATCTGTCATTAATCAAACTTTTTTCCTCTATCAAAGGCTTTATTAGTTTACAAATTCTGGATATAATGTTTTATTGAAGCAGAGAGTGTGTGGAAAGTATTACCAGCACAGAAGATATAATCAAAATCTGAAACCATTTTAATACTTTGAACAATGAGATGAAATTCAATATAAATGAATATGAATGCGTGCATTTAGGAATTAGATATTCTGAATTTAGCATAAATATTGGTCACATTGAATAAACAATTCACTGCATGAGCTTGACATCATTTGGCAACCTTTGAGGTATAGGTGTGCTTGTGAAGCTGAAATTAGACTACTAATTATTCAGGTGTCACATGTTAAGAATGTTGAAAAATTAGAAAATGTCCATCAGAAATCAGTTTAGTATGAAATCAAACATTACAAAGTCAACTATTGCAAGGAACATTAAAAAAAATTAGAGTAGAGAGAATGACAGAATAACAGAATAGAGAGAAGAATAAGAGAAGAAAATATTGCTGTCTTCCAATATTGGAAGTTCTGAAGAAGAGTTGGGACAGATTCTTCACTTTTTGTTTGGCCCATTGTTAGTCTGAGCCACTCATCACTTCCTGACTATAGGATTTTACATCATCCTGCTCCCACTTCCAACCCATTGAACACTGCATCCATGTTTTCCAATTCTAATTCAGAATTTCTGTTTTCAGAGCTGATGGCTTCCAGTACTTCATTCTGTCCTAGCACTAGGCTGCCATGCCTGACATTACCACTCCCTCCAATGGCTGCCCTGTACTGGTATATTTTGATGGGCTGTCAAGCTGCTATTTTCTCCACATTTTTTAAAATAATACTGCATTTGATTCAGTGGCTTGTAAAATCATGAATTGTCTCAACCCTAGAAGCCCATGTTCCATTAAAATCTTATATATCCCAGTGGGCACCTTTTGATTTCTGAATGAAGCTGAATAAAACATACTTCAATTGCTTTCCCACTCCATGCAAAACATCTGCCCCCTTCCCTTTGTTTTAAAATATATATTTGTTCTTTTGTTACATGAAGATAAACTATCAGTTCTTTCTTGTTAGCAAAGTTTCTATGGAGTTAGGAAGACAAGAACTACAATGCAGACTTGTTCTCATGTTTGATTATTATACAGTAGTGTCAAAGCAACAATGTTACAGCATCAGAACAATATTACAATAAGGAGGGAAAAGTAAAAAAAATGGGTCTGCTTTTGGGTCAAAGAAGATTGTGTGTGTGTGTGTGTGTGTGTGTGTGTGTGTAAGGGCATCCATGTGTGCAAATATCTGGGAATGTGGAAATGCTCTTAATTATTGTCTGTGAATATTTTGCATATATCCAATTTCAGATAATTATATTATTTTGAGCCTTAGAAGTACAGAATCCTGGTGATAAAATCAAGATGAAAAAGGAAGACAACTCTAATGCGGAGATTGCCTGGATATTCATATTAGAGGAAGCTAGAAAGCCACCTAGGGGGAAAAAACCTGGAATATTTCTCATCTATGCATTGTATAGTACTGAAATAGGGAATTATCTCAATGTGCTTTCCTTCAGTTTAGCATGAGATTAATTGCCCCTGATTTCTAGTAATATGGAATTGGGGGAATAGAGACCAGGAACATATAATGGGTGTTGATAGAGTATTGATTTTTGTTCCTGTTAAACCTATCCTAGTGATATTTTGTTTTGTTTTATTTTTATATCTAGCATGAATCCTGTCCTTTCCATCTCTCTGCCCCTAATCTTTGCCTTCACTCTGGGGCAAAGTCTGGCTCTTTGTATCCCTGTTGACTATGTCATCCATGTGGAGAAGAGAGAATGTGGCTACTGCTTAGCTATCAACACCACCATCTGTGAAGGATTCTGCATGACCTGGGTAATTATGGGTAATTATGTCTTGTAAGATACTTCTGAGTCTTTCCTTATAGTCCTTCGTGAGTATATATGTGAGCGTGGATATTTGGGGTTTTGGGCTGATTGAGGCCACAGTAGATGAAATGCTAACAGAAAATGAATGGAATCATGTTCTGCACTTTAGAAATCCAGAATTGTTTTTTTTTTTTTTCATTTATTTAGGCTAGCACCAGAGTTTTAAGGATTTCCCACCTGCAAATGGTGGGAAAGTGAAAATCAACTGTGTTATAAGCCTCAGAAAAGGGACACGGCCTGCAGTTACTTATTTTTCTTTGAAGCAAATATGCAAAAAGTGTGTTCAGTGACTGTGTGTGACCTACTGGCATGTATTTTATGCCTCCCCCATCAATGACATTGCACCCCAAACACCCTGATTTTTTTTTCTGCATTTTTTTTAATTTGGGGAAAAGGTGACATACTAAATTGGGTGTCTTAAGACTTAGCACTCACATGTAGAATGGAGTCCTAGACTTGACACACAAAGCTGGATCCTCTCCAGCCACTGACAGTTTTTCACTCTTGCTTTAAGAGGATAAATAGTGGGAAGAAATTTACAAGAATAATTTTTAGTAAGTTATCTTCTATAATAAGAGAAGATAATTTGAAATATCTTTTAATTTTACATCCCCTTTCAAGGATGATTGTTTCTTATTTTCTCAGATTGTGTCAAAAAGTGATTAATATGCAGAATATACCAGGATTTCAATGTTACCAGATGTTTAAGCTACTATTAGAGAACTGTGCTCCTTTCAATCTATTGTTGACCTCCAATACTTCCAAAATTCCTTCCTGTTTCCTCTAGGAGATAAGATTACACCAAAAGCCATTCTTTCTTATCCTAATTAATTAGGGCATTAGTTTGCAAATTGTAGAAACACTAGAACAAACAGATTCTTCCAATAAAAACAAACCAAAATGTATGTTTGAGGAACTGGTTATCTCTGATAGTTACTATCTGTCCAGTGAGGTCCAGCTCAGTGAATGCACTTCAGGTCTGTTGAATAAAGTAATGTAATCTTTCTAGAACAGGGGTGTCAAACTCAAGGCCTGCGTGCCAGATCTGGCCCATGGGGTGCTTAGATCTGGCCCATTCGGCCAACCTGGAATCAGTGAAGGACTGGCCGATGCGGCCCTCCCAAGCTCCATTTTCATTGGCAAAGAATTGCAGGAGGCTGTTGCAGCTGAAAACTGAGCTCAGAAGCCCATTTTTGCTGGTAGAGTGCTTGTGCCACTAGAGGCGCCACTGACATGAGTGACATCAAGCTGGCCATGTCCACTCTGGCCACACTCAACCCAACCCCCAAGGTCAAACACAACCCTCAGAGAAATCTAGTTTGACACCCCTAATCTAGAAGAAAGTCTTAGCACTTGTCCCCTGAAACAGCATGTGCCTCCAGAGGTCTGGATGATGATGTTTGATGATGTTTAGATAAGATGTTTAAACATTTGATTATGTTTAAAAAGTCACTGCAAATGTAACTTTTTTCCCAGGCCATGCTGTAAAGCCCCTGTAGGATATTTTACTGTTTTTTAGAACTTGTCTTCTGGACCCTTATGAACTGCTTCATTTTTAAATTGTTCTTACTTTTTTATAAATAGGAAGCCACAATGAGTAATTAAATAAAAATGACTAAATAATTTAATTGATGGTTCTGTGATAGAATCCCTTGAAATTTAGATTTTCGGGATAAGTCTAATTAAAAAACATTTGACTTCATTTTTCAGCCCATTTGCTCAATCACATTGATCTGACAGTCAATTCTCCAGAGCTTCTGCAATTCCTAAATCTTCTCCAAAGATGAACTTGGACTTTCTGCATGCACAGTGGGTGCTACCTGTGAGCAACTGCCCTTCCAAGCAAAGTGCCCATTCTAAGCACATTCTTTTCTAAAAGCTCAAACAGTTCATAATCTTTTTATACAGGATCAGTTTTAACTATTTTCTCATTTCAGCAAGATTGCTGTTGCTTGACTATTAGTTTGAAAAACTCCCATAATGATGAAAGGATCGTTCTAATTTCAGTTACACAGTGATTAGGAAGAGCACAGTGGAAAGCATAATCCAACTTTTTCAGGCCAATTTTAAACAAAGTCTATTAGGAAGGCAGAATAACCTTTGGCATTTTGTTACAGGACAGTAATGTTAAGAAGCTATTGCCCCGGAGGCCGAGTGCCCTATTCCAGGATGTGTGTACATACAAGGAAGTGGTGTACAGGACCGTGATGATACCTGGCTGTCAACACCATGCTGTCTCTTATTATTCCTATCCTGTGGCAGTGAGTTGCAAATGTGGGAAATGCAACACTGATTACAGTGACTGTGTGCAGGAGGCAAGTGGCGCTGGTTATTGTGCAATGTTCTAGAAGCTACATAACTCTTGAGGTCTTGGTTCTCTGTATCTTTCACGCACAGCAATAGCTAAAGAGCAGCAACAGCTAAAATAAACAAGTGGGTAGCATGAATTTGATCTGTCCATTTATTCAAAGACAGAACAGTAAAATATAATAGACTGCTCATTTTTGTGACTTTCATTTCTCTGAGGTTTCACAGGCAAAAAAAGAGTCAAGAATAAAAACACCCCCCCCCTTTTTTTTCTTTTTACTAAAGTCAGAGCAAAAACTCCATGGAATGAAGTCTTAAGTTCTGCTTTCTGACTGGTAAAACTAGAGTTAAACTTCCTACTATCTCTATCTTCAGTGACAAAGAACTTAACATTTAAACAAAATTTTGAAACAAAGTACACTAACATCCTTAAATTAAAAAAAAGTCCTCCATTTGAAATGTAATCCTTAGCATGCTACAGAAAGCTTCAGTGCAATCCTCAGAAGAACAAAATACATATACGTGGATTGTTGTTGCAAAAGTTTGAACATTTTTATTGTAGTAAAGTATGTGCGAGGCATATAATGTCCTGAAATCAATATAGAAAGAATGATACCTCCACACTCTTGTGCTTTCTCAGACAAGCTCAGTGATAATGTACAAATATAATGATGATCTATATACAGCTATATAAAGTCTGTTAAGAAAAATGCTTAGCAGTTTATTGTACAATAAACAATATAAATGGTCAGGAAATATTTTCAGCTTCCAGTTAAGTTACACTAGGTTCTTTTTTATAGTAGTTTTATTAAATATTAAAATTAAAAAGATAAACACTAATACAAACTAAAAAAATGAATAGAAAAATAGAAAAAAAGATAAAGAAATAACTTCTTCAACACAAATATAAACATTTTTGTAACTTATTACTTTCTCTTAAAATGAAATAAGTGATCTCTTCTTCCAGTATCTCATCTCTTTATCTATAAACAAATTCTTAAAACTTCATCTTTCCATCCTGATCAACAAGTCCATTAAGGGTTACCCAATAGCTGAAAAGCAAATAACAAGAAATTTCCAAAAGTAATTAAAAAACAAATTATGCAAGCCCTGTGTTCTTAGAAGAGTCAAATGAAGTCAAATGGTGTTCCCTTGTCTCTCTGACCTGAAAACTCTCCTGATAATGTTCTTGCTGTCTCCTCACAAGGAACAACTGTCTGGAGCACTTGTGGATGATCTCAAGTCTTCCTTGTCAAAAGGAATTGTGAAGAGATGGTCCGCTCACTGGTCTTTCATTCCACAGCAATCATTGGCTTTGCTCTTAGTGGAGCTGCCTTTGGTTCACCATTTCTTCCCTGAAGTCTTAAATTATACTTGATTCTAAATGGCACATTTTCCATTTTTATTAATGGCTTATAACTTTTTAAATAATTTAAGGAATTAGTCTACTTTGCTATTTTTATATTTGGATTAAATTATTTTGTATTAAGTTACCACAGGTACTGAATTCTTTACTGTAAGTAAAGTTAAAAACACAATCTATAAAAATTCATACACCCTTGTTCCCGATTAAGTGAGTGAAACACTAGGAGACATACAGCTGGAAAGACAGCAAATGGGTTAGATTAATAGCATCTATAGAACCCCAAGAAAAACTAAATGCCTAATTCACTTTGCAACATTTTAGCAAAGATTTGGTCTACAGATAGTTCTTTCTTTTCTTGTTATATTCATATATACAAAACATTTCCCTAGATACTCCTTCAGACTTTCACTTATCCAAAGTAATTATTCTCATTCCACTCTTAGAATTCTTGTTTCCTAAACTCAGACATGTCCCTGTTTTAGATGGTGTTTTATGACTAGTGTCTTTATAGTGACTTTGTCTTTTTCATGCTTAATAACAGAAAAAAAAAACAGTTGTCAATAGACTGAGCTGCTATTGTTTCTTTATAGTTGGTTCTTGTGATTATATTTCAGGAGATTCAATGAATGAAAGTCTATGGGGACAGTTTTCCATTCTGGCATAGATTTATAAGAATTTCTCCAAACCCAATGAAATAAACCACTTGAGCTATACCAAAGAGAGGTGCAATGACAAGAGCTCTGCAACTAGCTCCCTTTAAAAAAACTGAAGGACCTTCTTTTATCCAAATCTTCCTATGGAGACAAAAAAATAAATAAATAAGACCTAATTGGTTAAAACATTCTGCAGTGTATTACCTAAACGTATTTCAGCACATTTTAAATATTTACCAACAAGATTTCTCTATTTACACTTATCAAGTCTTTGCCAATATGTATCCCACTGTACAAAAATAAGTCTCACAAAAGAGTGGTATCATACCAAGAAGTGGTATGATTCCAACTTTTTTATAAGCCAACTCAAATGTTCATGCTTTTGTGCAGAATTAATATGGAAAACTAGTTCTGAATTGTAAGATTCCACATGAATTGGCTGTGTGGCACCACCATGTCTGTACTGAATCACATAAAAGTGGCTTTTACATGTTGTAACTTCACTTGGGGCAACTGATTATTCATTACTTTAACAAGATTTGTATCTACAGAGGTGTCAGGGTAAGTTAAGGGCAACTGAAAAATCAGTTCAAATGGTCTGACAAATATGTGAAGTCAATACACTGTCCTCAGAATCAAGAAATGTGAACTGTTTTGTAGGCTTTACCTTGCACAATCTACAATTCCACTATAATTCTCCTCATTTCTTCCGTTGCCCATTGACTGAAGACGAGTTTTTATTACTGGAAAAAAAGTGTTAAAGACATATGTTGGTCAATTAATCACTTGAGTAAGGGATAGTTCAAAATGTATCCATTCCACAGAACTATTATTTTATTATGAAAGCAATATTCTTCTCTATATAAGAAACCTTTAACAAATAAAAATATAAATTAGCTTTCATAGGTTATCCTCAATAACCTTTTCTAACATGTCCTCATGAAGTAGCCCAGAGACAAACAAAGTCATTCTTACCATCACAGGGGTTCACAGATACAGCAGCCACTGAGCCAGCTATGCACCCAGCAAGAAAAGAATGAAAGAAGCTTGTTCTCCCCTCCAAGGAATCTTGTCCTACTCTATTCAAATGGGCAAACAGTGGGAAATAGATGACAGAGAATGGAACATCCCTGAAAGACAAAATTTATAACTTTTTCAAGCAATGCAGAAAACTAGTCTGAAAATGAAAAAGCTTAGGAAAACATAAAATCATTACCTCAATAAAGTGGCTCCGAGACCCTTATAGAGCCCTTTGATACCATGGGTTTGTAAAAGCTCAGTTGCTATTTGAGTGGCAGATATCTTCCTTGGGATAACCACAGGTCCTACATTGTATGCTCTAGTCAGGATAGGGTTGACAGTTACGAGATTGCATCCAGAGGTAGAACAAGAAACTCGGCTCACAATTTGCTGAGATGCTGAAATGAAAATAGCAAATACATAAGACTTGTTTTGAAAAATCTCACTTGAACTTAAATCCGAGTATTAGAATCCTGAGAATCTATTTAACTACTTGAATTATATGAGTCTGAATGCTCGTATAAGTTTTGTTTTAGAACAATTCCTAATTTACTCACAGCAGAGGAATAAAACTTTGATGAAAATATTTAGGTTTATATATCATTATGATCTGTATATGATCTTCATAATTTCAAATTCCATACTCCCTTTTTCAATTTTTTCTCCAATAGACATAAAGAAGATAATGTAACTGGTAGGATGGGGTCAGTGTATGCAGTCCCTTTTCCAATTATAGCAATTCTGTGGTTTTAGATTGCAATTATGACAAAGGATTTGCTTTTGACAAAGAAAACTTTGATCTGTGTGATTGTTTTGATTATACTTCATCAAGTCAGTATTAACTCTTAGTAACCACTTAATTTTTTCTCTCCATGAGTGATCAGTTTATTTATTCTTTATAATTCATTTTATCTTGTCTTTTGTGTCTTGAATATATTTCTATTGCATCCAACCATACAAAAAGCACTGCAGATTTTCTATATTTCCTAATACTATCCTGCCACTTGGTTCATTATTTTATAGCATTCTGGGTTGTGTTGTGGCACTATAGCTACCATGACACAGATTATAGTTTCAATACAGCTGAAACAATGTCTGAATTTGAGAGATGGGTACAGAGCATATTTTTTTGCACTATTTTTCAAGGTAAAATGGTATAATATACTGTAGAAGAGTTTTACAGTGAAATCCCACATAGTAAGAAGATTAATTTATTTCTCAGAGATCAGTGTAATATATGGAGAGAGATCCAAGGCAACATTACCTAGTCTCCCTGCATCCTGCAGCTGGATTTTTAGCATCTCCATAGGAGTGGTGATAATGACCTGACAAACTCCAGCACCGCAACCTGCTAGCATCTCTTTAGATAAAGACAGAGCTACCCTGAAAGAGAAAAAGAATAAGATTTGTCAAACATATTACTTTGAACATCACAATATGGAGTTCCAGCAGTGGGAATGGGCTGTGTAATGGAGATACACACCTTTTCTCCAAAGGAACGGGTTTTTTTGACAAAAGAATAAAAAAAATTAATAATACAAGAAACTTCACAATTAAGCCCTTTACTTACTTCACCTTATATGTGTGGTTCTGTTTGTCTCTCTAATTGTCCCTGCTAAGAAGATGACCGTATCTTTCTTTGCTCACTGTACACTTTTCTTGTCTATGTTGTGACTCCCTTCACCCTGTGTAGAGGTTTTCATGTTTCTGTACTCAAAAGGAACGTGGTTCAGGATAAAACTGGGGCTTCTATCAAAAATGTGAAAATGTCTTCTCACTTGTCTGTGAATAGCAATGCCCCTATAATGGTAGCATTTCCAATAATTTTAATTAACTGTGACAAATCCCAAAGAATTGCTTTCCTGATACATAGGACGGAAGTACAATATTTTCCCTTTCCTCTTTTACTTCCATTTACTTTGTGCTTGCATTATCTTGTTTCAAAATATATGATTATTTACCCCTTTCAAATATGATTGTACAACTGATCCCATTGGTGGCATGTATAGAATAATTAAATTAGTTGTTATTATATTATTGTTATTTATTTTTAAAATATGCCTTGATTTAAAAAACCCTCCAGGGAAGTATTTGTTAAAAAAATATTAAACATGCACTATAAAAATATAGGACTTGAAACTAGTTTTAACATCTCAACTCAGCTATGAACATAGACTTTAATGGATGTAAAATACAAGTGATATTCTAGTATCTGAAATAACATACCCTTCCTTGGCAAGGAGGTGTCTAAAATAGTCATTAGCAGCCAGTTTGATAGCCTTCTCAGGTGTTACAAGGGTCAGGTTTACCGCTGCACCTATAAATAAACATACTTATGTTTAATGGATATAAAGTGATTGTATTCTTCAGTTAATGATTATCATTATTCTATAAAAAAATTTCACACCAGTCTGATTCAAAGTTGAGTTCTCATTATTATAAAGAAAAGAAAACTAGAATTAGAATTAAGAAAAGGAAGGTAATGATTGCGGAAACAATTAAAGAAGAACCTTCACTATTCACTTGAAATAAAATTCACTGTATTTTAAATTAGTGATTTTTCTTCATGTTCTAAAGAATGTAATCAATTTGATAAGATAATTTAAAAAATAGCTTAAATGTTTAATGAAATGAATTTTAAAAAATCATTAATATAGTTCCATGAAACATATTTGCTTTCAGGAATGCTTAGTAGTTTATTGTAACTTTTACTACAAACTTTAATTAAAACAAATAATCAAGTAACTTAAATAGCCCACCAAAAACAAAATGACGTGTCTTGGGGATAACCACATAGCTTCATTAAAATGTTTTCTCTCCTCCCACTATCATTTATCATCTTTTATGTTCATTTTTATGTGTGTGTTGGCAACAGAAAGATTAAAAAAAAAAAGGGTCATAAGCCTGAGATGGGGAAATCTCCCAAAGATGGAGGGATGGAAATTAGATTTAACTTCACAGGAGTTGAAGAAAAAATATACTTTATTTAAAAAGAAAAGGAAAAAAACCATCACTTTTTAATGTTAAGCTTTAAAAAATGCAATTATGCACTGATGAAGAATCTGAATTATGTAACTGCTTAATTAATAGTATACACCAATTGGGAAATTGGCTGAATTGAAAACCTAAAACCACAAGATTGCACTGATTTGTTACAGTTGTTGCACTCTAAATTTTATCAAAACCTTTCTCGGGGGAAATTATCATCTTGAGAGATTTGGAAACCAGAGTTCTCTTGAGATGAAAGATTGCATGTACACTATTATTCTTCTGAAGGTCCCTTAAACAAGCTCCTTTTGTCTTCCCTCTCTGGAGTTTTGACCTTGGTCTAGTCCAGGGCGGTCAGACTCCCGGCCCATGGGCCGTATGCATCACGTGCTGGCCACGCCCATGCCTGGTTTAGCAAAGGGGAAAAAAGCCCCAATATCTCACACAATGCCACCATGACGACACAAATTTGACACCCCTGCTCTAGTCACTCCACTCTGTTAACAAACCATAGTTCAAAAAAGTTCAGTCTTCATTATTACATCATTACAATGCACATAAAGCAACTCCGTGCTATTCTTCCTGTCCATAATCAACCCAACCCCAAATATTGTTCTCTTTTGAGATGAAGAAAAAAAAGAAGCCTTTGCCATTTCAGCACTCTTTCAAAAAAGAGTGTAAATTCTGAGTGCTTAGGAACCAACTAAGACAAATGCTTGGAAAATGTCAGTTATTGTTACATAGGCAACTAGAGGGCAGTAATTTAGATATTACTGAATTAAAATTCCCACTTTTCCTTGCTTGTGGGCTTTCTGGTAGTTCAGGAACTTTTGGTTGGCCTCAAATTCCTTACTCCTGCTGTATCTGAACTGACACCCTGCAATCATATGTTCTTCCCCAGTGGACTCCAGTGCTATGCTCTAAAACTCTTGGAAAAGTTTTAGAAAGCAACTACTATTTTTTTGCATTTCTTTGTTTATGTATTTAATCCCTGAATAATAAAATGTTATTCACTTTTACTCAGAAATCCTGGAAACGTGGCTTAC